GGCGCGCGGGCGCCGCAGATGACGACGGTCCGCCGTTGACGGGCCGCTGCGACATGGGCCGCGAGGCCGTCAAGCGGCCGACGACGTGGCGCGGCTGCCGCTGCTGCTGTCGCCCGACCGCTGGGACATCGCCGTCACGGGCTGCGGCTGCACGACCGCGTCCCAGGAGCGCTACGTGATCGGTGCCGGCGCTGGGCGCACGGCTGCACCGAGGACGACGGCTACGGCGGCGGCTGCTGCGCCTGTAGTTGTTGTTGTTGTTGTTGTTGTTGCGTCGGTCGACTGTTACGGCGACTACGGCGACGACGCGGCGGCGTGACCGCGGCGGTGGCTCGTACCGTCACTGGACGTCTCTCGACACTGTTGTACGTGTTAATTATGGTCGTGGCCGCAACGATGGCCAGCATGGATGACCACGAGCGGAAGATTGTCGTCGAGTTTTGTCAACTGCTCGAACAGTCGAAACAGTTATTCAACGGGCTCCGGTGAGTCTCCCATACGTGTCCGCGCGGGCTAGAGTCGGGGCCAACACCGGGCGGGGGAGGTGGACGGCACCGTATCAAGTCGCATTCTCTCACCGTTCGTCGACGACGGTTCTAATCGTTAAGTGCAGGGCCGTCCCAAGAATTTTCGGGGCCAGGGGCAAATTTTGATTTTGAGAGCCCTTCGACCATAATAATAAGATATGATAAACAAAATACTCACAGACAATAAAAAAATTCTTGCAAACGTATTTTTCCAAACCTTAACCAATTAAGCTCCTCTAAATGTATGTACTGCATTACATATTTATGTAATAGAATTGAATATTATTCTTATTATTTGTTATATAATCGCTCAATGTAATCGGACGAGTCGCCACATGCTCGCACGTGCGCGACTTAAATCGCCGACACTTGGCGTGTAAAATTGTTCAGTGAGATCGAGGCTTGATTATTAGTTATTTTACATCAAGACTTTATGGGAGACCCTTGAAAAAATATTCCAACAATGGGACCTGGGTCAAGATGGTCCCGTTGCCCTCCCCTATAAACGGCTCTGATTAAGTGCCGCATATCGTGACCTTGGATAACTGGCGATAAAGCCGGAATTACAATATTTTATACTGCCGCTATTCATCGAACGTTTTCGAACCTGTCGCCTAGTCTTCGTGTCGTGTATGATCTGCAGTCCGTCGAGAGGTCGCCCAACGACGAAGCCGACTCCAGCACCTATTCGTCCTTCAAACCACTCAGATCTCGATCCTTGCCGTCCGATCACTTTTACTCGTGCTATCTATCCCCAAAAGCTAGTTAATATATGTGTTTTGTGTGTGTGTGTGTGTGTGTGTGTGTGTGTGTGTGTGTGTGTGTATGTAAGTGTGTGTAATAAATCGTCCTCTACACGCAGAACCGGGTAACTGGCGCTATCTTTCGTTTCGTCACTTACCGCGTGGTCACATGTTTAACTGTAGTTACAATGTACATAATCCTGCATGTACTCTTGTACCTGCAGTGCACTAACACGTCAGCTTACTCGACGTAAAATGCGAGTTCCTACGGAGTCGCAGCCGATCCCGTGTAGAACGTTGAATTTTCCGATGGTAGCGATGATTTCGATTGATCGATGTGACGAAAGCGTACCGTGACGACGTCTGTAACAACGGCGCTGAGCTTTTACTTGGTTCTTTCCAACCCCGTATAAACGCGCGTCGTGAATAATACGACGTGCTGCGTGACTCATTTTGTTGACGGGAAAAATATGAAAAATCTCACACCCGTCCGACAAATGGACAATGAACTCGTGTTCCGGGATGGCTAGTCTAATCGCACGGGGTCTTGTACTGTGAATTTCCATTTTATTCCGTACGTACTTGATTACGTGTGACGTAATATTAATTTGTACCCCTGCATGTGTGTGTTGGCGTGTGTACGTAGTGAAAAAATAACGCGAAGTCGATGAGTCACATTGCGTACATATACAGAGTGGTTAAAACCATGAAAAGTAATCAGGGAAATATGAGTAACGTATACTTGTTGGAAGTTAATCTGAGTAAGAGACCAATGAAAAATGAATAAAAAAAAATATTAATCTTATTCAACTAGAAATCTAAAAATAAATGACAAATTACTCGTGATTTTTAAATGAACGATAAATAAGCACCATTTTGTACATAATTTGCGATTTGATTTTATTCAATCTCACACGCATATCTGGCAATGTAGTTTTATCACTGTTCATTGTAGATATATATATTCACTTTATCATTGTATAAACATATGCATGTGTGTATGTGTGTGTGGGTGTGTGGGTATGGGTGTACGAAACCGAGGGGTTGCAGAGAAAGTTGAATAGGCTTGTGGTATGAGTTTATATTGTAATTCGTATACATTGTATAATTCAGCATACGCACTCATACAAGATCCGCTGCGTTCATTTTCGAATTGCGAAACCATACGAAATGTGTCATTTTTAAATTTAAATATTAGTATTAATTTTTCAATAATTGTTCCTTAATAAGAAACTATTTTTTTTCACAGAGACCTTCCACAATGCGGTCAGAAAATCTGGCAAGGGTATTTTGGCAAGACTTTCGACGTTTACACAAAACTTTGGAAGTTTCAGCAGCAACATAGGTAATTAATAATATATGTATGCATTTCAACACGATTATTACATTTCTAGTGTACCTTTTTATGTAAAAAAGACACAACCTTATACCAATACGGCTATAAATACATTAAATGTATATAATATTCATGCGAAATATAAATCCTAATATGTATGTAAAAAAAAAAGAAGAAAAGTCCAAATGTTAAAAGTATAATACATTAATGTTTATTTTTCAACATACATTTTTACTTCGTTAATGCAAGTGCAATTTTAAAGGAGGATATATAAATGCAGTAACTAACCACTCAAGGCCTGTGTGCAAATCAAAACCTTTAAGCCCTTAATCATCAAACCTTTTTGAGCATTTGATCTTTTGAGGCCCCATAATATATAGTTAGAGGCCCGGAGCCTATGTGCAATGCACCCTCTGCACACCCAGTTTTACAGCACTGAGAATATAGAATCATGTGTGTCCTAAAGAAGTCATTATTAAATTGTTAATTACTTTTTATCACTCTGAATTATTATTATTGAAAGTTTCAATTTGAAATCAAGTGCGAAATAATACCGACAACATAAATAGAAAATGTTCAAGAAGAAAAATCCTAAATAATACTAGTTATACGAAAAATTGTAGATGAAGGCCGAAAAATGTTTTACATTTTCAATGATTATTTAAAGGATCATATAATAGCCCTCTCGCTTTGGCAATACCTACCACATATTTATCAAATATGATGATTTATATCGATGACATCCCCTTCTCAAATTAAAAATCTTGTATCTACGCCTGCATTTATGATAACATTATTTTTTTATATCCGACACACTACATTATAATGATTAATAAATACGTGTATGTTACTGTGCTACAAAGTATGAAAATTGACGCATGTTATTAAATTGTTCTGAGTGAGTAAACGATTTAAAGTTAAAAACAAACTACAGCTGATTTTGTATTCTGTTTGTAAATATTTTATGATGTTTAACAAGATGACTTTTTATCAATACACTCGGTTTTATAAATAAAAGGTGATCGGTTAGAAAAGTTAATCTGGAACGTTCGAAAAATAATTTCTCTTTTTAATAAAATATTAGATAAATCTGACTCATACCTCATTAATAGGTTCTTTAGCACCAAAGAAGATTCTAAAGGATATCAACTTTTTTATTTTATTGACTATAGTTTTTAATTAAATACTCGAAAAAACTCTTGTTATTCAATTCGATTGATAGATTTACATTTTAGTCCAGGAAAGGTAAAAAGATTGTTAATAACCGTAAAATTTTAGGTAGGTACTACAGTGTCATGTACATTATACATGTATCATATTTAACTTAAAAGATCAGTATATAATATACGTGTTACTTTTACTAATAAAGTATAATCGTTATTACTAACGAAGCATACATTTCATAGGAGTCTGAGCATGGCTCCTCTAGTATTTTGATAATGACGTAATATTATTGTTTTACATTCCTTTAAATCGGGCGTGTATATCTGTGGCTAACTACGCCTGTAATGATTTACAAAAACTATAGGAATTATTTGAAACGTCAAACAGATTAAGTATATATTTTTGTACTGTGTACGTGCTGGATTTTTTTTTTTTTTGCACAAGGGGCGTAGCGAAATGAGTTGTTTTGTTGTTGGCATATTTATAGAAGCAGGTTAATGAGAATTAAATCCGCTTCCGTTCGCCAATAAATGTTGGTATTCAGTTAAAAATTAAAATTTCTTGCAATAGACTTCACGTAATACTTGGTCACGGTTTATTGCTTTAATCATCATAATATTGTTATCTCTCCAGAAGGCATTTTTTCGTACCTATGTCACTGGATTTTTATCGATCCAATTTTTTCCACTGAAATTGAACTAAAAGATGGCTGTATAATATATTTTGGACATATTTCATGGCCTTAATAATAAATTTGTGTAACGCAGAATAAAAAGTATTATTTTCGTCGATAACGTATACGATTGTTTTGTTGCAGGCAAGTGTTGGATACAAAGTATGGCTTAAAGCGATGGCAAATAGGTGAAATAGCCTCGAAAATAGGTCAACTGTACTATCATTACTAGTGAGTATAAATATAATATAAGATATACGATATGTACGATGAATGTGTAATATTGATATCTTCAATTGGACGTAAAGAATGTCACACTGTAACCGATGAGCCCATAATTATTGATCGTTTACGAGTGAGTACTTAGAACACGGAGGGAAAAAAATAGGTAGGAGATTGTATGCGTATCCGTGCGTGTCCCCATGAAAACACCTAAAGGGCAAACCAGCAATTGAATTAATTTCGAATTCGACGATGGTGCCTTATTTATTCGAGATTGTAAGTGATTTTTTAGGTTATATACTTATAAATAATCGGACAAGGGTTTTAATTGCATAAATCTATCTATCCACTCGAAAAAAAAATCTCGTGAAAAAAAAATACATAAATACCATTTTACACCATTACCCTGGTGATGTGGTGAGGCAATTATACCATATTCACATGTTCACACACTCACATTATACTGTATTAGGTTCTTTAATATAATGCGTAAAATCGATGCAAACGGTCATAGTTGGAACATGACTCGTGGGTTTGTAGGTCTTTTATAACGGATTTTTTCCCTCTTTTTTTAGCGGGTATAGTTTTCAAGTATAAAACAATAGTGTGGTAACATGTCAAGCGTGACGAGATTATTTATTATTATTATTATTATTACTATTTTTTATATACACAATTCACTTATCGGTTTAAAACCCTTTGGTCATTGTACGATATTATACATTTTCATTATACGGGATCCGAATATACAATTACCATGTATTATGTGTGCGTGTGGAGCAAGCCAATTTAGCTTGGATCAGATATTTTTAAGGACACTAATTTAATGTATATCTCTTCGAAATAGGGCAAATCAAATGTATACTATTTAATATATAAATCAATTAATCAATATAATAAAACATAAATGTTGGTATGAAAATAATAACTACTACACATGTTTTATATATATTACTGTAGTAGAGTAATTTACAATATTATATAAAAATCCTCCGACAACATAAGTATAATATAATACAACAATAAATAATATAAAAAATAATAGAACAAATATATTTAGCAGCCTATATATTCCGTGTACCGTGGTACAACTAAGACTTCTTAACGAATAGGAAGTGATAAAGTAGTTGGTAATTAGCTATTATTGAAATCATATTTTTTTCATTATTAATGATTATATCTTATTTTTAATTGCAATTAAATTTTTATTCCTTAATTAACTTAATATAAAAATTAAATTTTACTATGCAAACAATTCTTTATTATTGTAATAGAACATTAATTTATATTTAATACTTATTTTATTGTTCAAATACATGACAAAAAATATATTAAAAAATTCGGTCAGTAAGGAAAGGAAGACAACGCCATTTAAGTTTTTACAAAGACTCATGTGTAAAACAAATAATTGTACTTTCCGCCATAATACTTGTATATAAAATTCATTATTATAATTATAGATAATTTTATATTCTAGGATAATGTTTACAATTTGTTTCAGCCTTAGAACAAGCGATACGAACAACTTAAACGAGGCGTATTCGTTTTATTCGGCGATAAGAGGACGACAATATTACTCTCGAGTATCTCAGGAAGATAGGTGAGTTTTGATAAATACATACCATATATAGCTTGCGAAAATATTTAATGTGGCTCGTTTTTTTAAAATTAAACAAAATAATAAAAATAAAAAAAAAGTAAAATTTAAGTTTTAGATGGGAAATTTTGATATCATACAAGTCTCTTGAAATAGGCATATTTAATTTATAATATAATATCTTTAAAAATTTATATTGAACATTTTCAATAATATTTTTATATGAAGAATAACTTGGTGACCAAAGAATTGAGGATAACTCATGATGAAACCTGACAAGAGATAAATATAATGTGTTTAATGAACTAATGTTTTTTAATTTTTTTAATAATAGCGTTATTATTATCTAACACTATTAGATTAATATTGATATTATACGTACTTTTATATTTGGTGGCCCACCGAGGACATTACTTATATAACCTGTAAAATGTAATAAATATATCAATCATAATTTAGTAGCTTAATTATCAGCTATGATGTCGAATAATACATAGCAATTAACAAGAAAAACTCAGGGCAGGTTAGCCGATAAATGTATTCATATAGTTGTAATTATTATTTTATAAAATCACACATTACGTACTTGGTAAATGCTTTATATTGTTACCTAAAAGATAAAGGAGAAAATTCCTCTCAGTTCCTTTCATATGGACGGAAATAATAATGTAGTGATATATTTTTATACTTTTTGAGAGATAGAAAATATATCGTTTTCGATAATAAAAAAAACGTAATATACTGTATAATAGTTTGTCGCTTACTTCATAGATGTACAAACACTAACGCTTTGCGTGTTCAAAAGTGTAAATTGTCTGTTACTTTTTCCGTTACTTAGACCATAAATATAGCTTAGCCTATTTTTCTCTAACATAGACCCATTTTAATGAACGATATAAATTTTATATTTATTTCAGATCTGATTTAATGGTAAAGAAACTAAGGTACTACGCTAGGTTTATTGTAGTTTGCCTGCTACTTCGAAGAGTAGGAGCCATCCGGGAACTATTGGCTGTAAGTATTGTAGTTTTGAAAAAATATTTGAAAATAACGACATCAACAAATATAAAAATATTACTTTTCTTGTTTATAATAATAATTAATAATTAATAAACTATTTATGGCACACATAAACACTTCTGACGGCACGTAATCTATTATCGAATAGATATTTACCGTGCTAGAAAATAATTAATTTTTACACTTAACAGAGAACAGGCATTTCAGCACACTTTCACAGATTTAAATTAATATTAAATCAAATAAGAAACGAAAACTTTTTCAAAGTCATGAAAGTTCAAAGTTTAAATTCAGAAGAAACAAAAATGTAATCTTAAAAACTTATTAGGATAAATATTACCATGCCAATCAGTAGCTAAATGTTACTTAATAATATATCAATTATATATAAGTGTATTAAACCATTAGCTTATAAACCATTGTTAAAAATTTACATAAGCAGTTGGCTTAATTTTCATGAATTATTCCAAAATTTATATTATAAATTAGTATAATTATTCTACGTGTTTCACTTCAAAATTTTATAGAAATATAGGCCAATAAATTTATCATGAAGTCCTTTATGTGAGAATTTTTCTAATAATATAAAAAAAAAAAAACTACCACAGAATGTGTCTACACGAGCCACGGTGTGATGACGACAAAATCTCCCCCTCGTGTTCTATTATAATTAATACAGAAAAATCGATAACGTGTTTCATTACACATTGTAGTAGCATCGCGTTTTATTCGGTTTAACACATTTTAATTTTTTTTTCTCACTCAAAGGAGCTAGACAAACAAATCGTAGACTACACGAGTACATACGAACCGGACGACCAGCTGGAATGGTCTTTGGTTTTGGAAGAAATAAAAACATTCGTGAAAGCCGATAGCATAGTGAACGTTATACATGCCGACCAGAGCAGCGTCATACTTTCGCACAGGTATAATATTAAAATCCAAAAATAAAAAAAAGTTGATCAAACACGACACGATTCATTCCTTTCAACCCTTTTCCCCATTGCCCCTACAACTTCGAAACGTACACGTGACCTTGCCACACGGGCATTCGTATATATTATTATTATTATGTTGAATTTGCAGTTTTCGTATTATACAATCCTGCACCTTTACGATTTCCTTTTTTTAACAGTTGACATTCAATATTCTCGTATTATTCGGCCGTGCAAATGATACCTCACAACGTGAAAAAGCGTTAACGCATGATTCGTTTTCCTTATACGTGTTTTACACGCACACCCCATGTATATATAATATTTATGTATGTATACTAATGAAACACTTTTATACTTGTTTACAGATTAACTCCACTAACGACACCACCAGTGGAAAAATCTACGATGATGAATCTGTCGTTGCAAGAAATTATACTCATAGGAAACGCATCAGAACAGGTTAGGGATGGGGGAAGTTTTAAATATTTTTGTGGGGTGATTTTTTCAATTTCAAACGTTAGTTAACAAAATCACATTATGATATAATACTACATAATTTTTATGCATAAACATTGTGTTCATTTTTTTCAAATGGCACTTAATTTTTAATTTCTAAAGTTTTGAAGAAAAATATTGTTTTTTGTTAATAACTTTGACGATCTAATATCGAACCATTATTTAGCTATTGATAGTTATACAAGTACTTCCATTATCCTATTTAAAGTTTAAATTTGTTTTATCGATTGACTTTCTAATTATACAATTAATAATATAAATAATGATATAAATTTCTAAACGTTGTACGTAATAAAAATCACTTTGTACCTACCGACGTAAAATATTAATAATACAATAAATTATTATTATTATTATTAATACTAAATTGATATGAAAACATAAAAAAAATACTATATTGACTGGTTTGTTCGTTGTATAGGTCAAGTTCAGCGAAATGACTATTGATATGTTCCGAATGATGCAGACGCTAGAAAGGGAAAAAAATCGAGATGAAATAAATCACGTATCGGATCCCCCTTCGAGAGCATCGTTCGAAAGTAACCGTTTTAGGATTCAAATTTTAATGGTTTTATTATTTTATTTTTATTTTTGCAAGATTATTAAATAAATATTATTAAAAAAATATATATATATTTACATTATGTAGATGTACTTTTATAAGTCTTAGAATACAGTAGATGAATTTAAAATTATTTTTGATCTCTATGTTGAAGACTTATAATTGAAAAATTATTCAACTAATTATCTCTTTTTACATATAATATAATTTTAACTGATGAACAATGTTATTTATTCGTAAAAATCTATTCGTCATAAATTACATTCCTAATTATAACTATACAACGAAAATATATATATGACAATAATATATACAATAATTATTAACTAATGTCATCAGTACCATTGTATGTTATAGGAAAAAAGTTACTCAATTACCAGTAATAAAACCTTAGCGTATCCAATGATGGCCAATCATGACGTAAATAGTTCTAGAAGAGAAAATCCTCACAAATATATACTTTACAAACCGACTATTACTCAAATAATGATGTTTCTAGCTACAGGTTTGAATAGGTTCAAATTTCATATGTATTGTAATTAATGTTTTATTAATTTGATATTAAAGGTTTTAAAGAACTTCCGGCAAATGGTGTGCTGCTCATGTATGTTTCGGCAGACGGGTGCTTTCAAACATCAAAACACGTTAACGATTGTAAGTACATATAAAATATAAATATTATGACGTATTGAAATTGTCAATATTTTGATCTATAAATACTATATACCGGGCACGATAAAGCATTATTGAATTGTTGATACATTTCATTTAAAAATCACACTGTGTACCCCGAAATCTTAACTCCCGAGTGAACGAGTTCATTAGTACAGTGTTACAGTAGTTTTTTAAACGTGACAATCCATAATATTACATTTTATATGCTCCCTAACCTTATGAAGATATTATTTATTGTTTTGACGATCAACATTAAAAAAAAAATATTATGTGTCCATTAGAATACGTAAACTATATATGGCTTGTCGATATTATTTTGTTCGCAACAGCGTTAAAAAGTAAAAATGTTTAATTAATATACTTTAGTGTGTGCTTATTGTTTCAAAATGTTTAAACCATTTTATTATCGATGCTATTTAAAGTATAATTTTCTTTTTCAGTGGGTTACGATTGTGGAGGTATCATGGCTAGTAGCAAACGAGAAATGGAACTGACCAATAAAAAAGGTGTGCACGTGAAAGAAATTCATTGGTAAGAAATCGTAAAATGTGTCTAAACCATTACAAAGACTAAGCGTTATTGTTTATTTATTAGCTTATATCCTGGAGATCTTTATCCGTTCACTAGAAAGCCATTATTTGTAATTATCGATTCCGATAATAGTTTTGCTTTTCAATACATACCGAGGTATTTTGGACACCCGTTTGTTGTGCTTATGTCTCCTCAAGAGTTACCGGATAAACTACACGGTAAGAAAAAACATCATGTATAAATATATATAAATACATACTTGTATATTCATGTATATAAAAGTAATTTAACCTACATGTTTGAATTGTAATGCAGTTCATGTTTTGCAACTAAATTCTGAAAGGATTAGAGTAAAACAAAACAAGAGTTGTATAATAATTTTTAGTTAGCAAAATTGAATTAAACAACAAAAAGGTATAAGTTTTGGGAAAATATTTTTAAAATGTATATATAATTATAAATTTGAGCTTCATACTTATATAAGTTACAATATAAACATAAATATATTTGTATAAAAAAAAAAAAAAAATAAAAAATTATAATAAAAGCCGGTAGAATACTATTGTCTGAAAGTGTTTGTATTATAAATTATCCATATTTCTATGTACAATTTTTAATTCGAAACCGGTCGTACATCAAAATTAAAATAATATTCCAGGCTAAAAATGTATTTATTTATTTATTTCTATATATAAAATATTTATTTATATACTAATTTACAAGTATTAACCATTAACTAATTTTATTTTTTATTATTTTATTAATGATAATTCATTGAATCAAAATATAAAAGTGCCACACACGTGATATGAGTAAATTAAAATATATGATTACTAGAAACTAAAAAAAAATAAAATAAAATATTAAAAATTTACTAAAATACAAGATAGTATTTGCTACTTTATACTCGTAGTTATAAAGTCTGAGTAATAACTACTAATGCGAAACATTTGGTAAATACCACGAGACTTGTGTTTAACTATTTTTATAAATTTGTATTAGAATAGGTGAGTAATTTTACCATTCGAATGCCTAATCTTATATTTTTTCTTCAACAGAACAACTACAGCACAACGGAAGTTTGTTCACGCTATTCTTGCATAGCCCTTTGACTGCGTTCTGTTTAATATGCAATATTCTAACAGTTAAAATGCACTTGTGGGAGAGGGCCAACTCGTATGTAGATAGATTTATCACGGAAGCTAGTCGTTTATTTACTAGTAAAGTGAAACCAGGTATACATAACACAATCAATTATTCAAAAGTAAAAAAAAAAAAAAACAATACTCATGCTAAATGTTCTATTTCTTATTTTAGATGTGTCTTACATACAGTTCTTCGGTGACGACTTTTTGAGGCTGCTGCTGTTGCGGTACGTCTTTTGTCACGTTGTCCTGCGTCATCATCGGGCATTTAATGTGAGTTGAATGAAAATTAGATTTATATTTACCACCGTAAATCGTCTAAAGTTAATATTAGTTTCGAATAAGTGAATATAAGTAACGATGCACTGCGCGCTTTCGTCAACACTTTACTGCATACGAATGATGGATATGTTAATTTATAATGTATTAAGATAATATGTTAACTCTACACTATAATCACATATTATATCTGTTTTAATTTAGACATCTTGCATTGGCATAAAAAAGTAGCAATGCATCATAAAAAAACGTTACGTATAATAAGATAATTAAATGAGCTATTTTTGAGTACCAAAATACAAAAATATATTAACGTTACGCTTCACACTGTTACAACACTATATAAAATCTAATAGTTCTTTAAAATCTATTAAAATAAATTTCGTTATTTGTTGAATACGTTTTTAATTGCAAAAAGATACTCGAATATAATTTTTTTTTTTTCCTTTGTCATAAATATAACAGAAAAATATAAATTCTTATTTTATGCATTTAACTTTAATGTTTTACATCATAAAATTTATTTTATTAATAGTATTAATTACCTTTCTACTAAACGCGTTGACTAAATTATACTTTAATATATATACGAGTATATATAATCTTTATATGTTTATAAGATAAATGAAAATATATAAATTATTCGTTCTCTATTTAATAGGACATGTTTTAACTATGAAATTGAAGCATTAAAAATCCTTCTATAAATTTATTTTTAAAATAAGATTGAAACTCCTTAACTAAATGAGACTTCATGATCGGATGAGATACAGAGATGGGTTAATAATATTGCAGTATGTACCATTGCTCTCGAAAAAATACTTATTTAATACATTAAATAATATATTTACGAGTATAAGGTAACTAAATCATTAAAATTATTAATTGAAAATTCGTTGAAATATTCAATATCACCAATTTCATTTTATAACGCTTATCAAACTTGTTTGTAACTTTCTGGAAATTTTTATAATTTTTTTTTTTACTACAAAAAAAAATCTTATGAGAAAACCTTGTCCACTAATTTTTAAACCTTAGATAAACCTTAATTTTTTACTACAAAAATTTAATGGATCTTAATGATTTTTATGGTTTTGTCATCATTTTATATTTAAACGATCGTGAAATTTATTTTCATAAATTATAGATCTATACGATGACATTTGACAAATTAAAATTATGTTATCGGTATTTTTAAAAAGACCTAAGAAATCATGAAATTTAAATTATTATATAAAGAGCTAAAACATTTTTTTTTTTTTTAATTATACTATCTATTTGTAAAGTGAATGGTGATACAAGTATTTAGTGAATATTTCAAGTTTTTAAAGTTATTATTTTTTTGAGTTAGAATGAAAAATAAAATTTGATGTTGTGGATAATCAGTAAATCATAAATGTTGTCAATTTTCGTAATTTTGAGTTAATTTTTTCACAGTTATTAAAAATGCTGTTCGAAAATTCGTTAAATAACTCACCTTAAAGTACTGACTAGGTAAAATTTTTTTTTAACTTCTTATTGGTTACGATCGAAGCAATCCTTCTTATCAAAATCATTTATACATTGATAGAAAAAGAAACACAAATTGGTATAACCTAAAAATATCTCGTTTCACTCAGAATCTAAAAACAGAATTATGACTTTAATAGTAACAATTTAAATCAACCTTGAAATATAATATAGTATAACCTAATATTTTATTTTTAAGTACTTACTTATACTTGCGGGTACTTAAAGTGTTAAGTATTATATGTATTGTATGCTAGCTGCTACTTTTACTCTTAATACTATTATGTCAAAGCTATTCATCTGTATATAAAAAGCTTTTTTCTATTATTAAAAAATATCTTTCAAGGAGGATGTAGGAAAAAACATTTGGGCATTTTTGCTATCATAAAATAGTATTATTATTTGAGTTTTGATTTAGTGTTTTATATTGAATACCTATTTATTATTATAGACTAAAATAATTTAAAATAATTTTGCCACTTTCATCGTAAAGAAAAAGAAAAATTAGATTAATTTTTTTAACTTACTGAACACATTATTCAAACAAAATAATATTTTTTCTTTAAAAATCCATGAACCTAAAAGACAAATATGAAAATATTCCTGAATCGAATAACCCTAAAATCGTCGTCAATATCATAAAACTGTTTCATTTAACCTAAATAATATGGGTATGATAATTTAAATTATAATAGTAATTACGCAACAGATTTTACGGATTATACGATATTTTTGCAAAATTACGTATATGGCAATATGTTGATTTGCAATTTGTGAAAGCATGGTATTATATATCAGTGCCAACTATGTTATTAACCATAATTATCTTGAACTTTGACAGTAAAATTACGAAAAATATTAGACATGAAGATTGTCCATGAACCGTTAACGTTATTCGTAGAGTTCACGTGCTCTACGTTTTTTTTTAATTTAAATTACCCATCGCTTTCTCTGTCAAGTGAACCATTTATTTGTGTAGTTTTACTATCCTCTTGAATGATTTTAAAAACATAAAGTAAACGCCGTAACGATCACAACATTAACTCGTAAATAATCAGAATAAACAAACGCTTTCGATTTTTCAGTGAAATCGAATTAGGTATATTTTTTTTCTTCGCACTAAACGCAAAAAACATTTAATTTTTTCGCATCCAATGCGCATGAGGCCGTATCTATACACAAGTTTGTTAACAACTATGTAGTGCGACTAAGTCATGTGAAACGTTATTAACCGTAATGGCTAAAGATACAGAAGCAGCATATGAGATGTTTAGACGTTATACTATAAACATAAGACTAATACTAGCCATTACTAATAGTTTATGTTGGGCCCGTAGTATGCCAGTATTCCGCCAACACTCGGCATAACTATAAGATACACTGACTGGCCTTTACTAGCAATTCATACAGGACCCGTGATATGCCAGTATTGAGTCATTACTGGCTGATAGTACTAGTTTTCCAGCACTAGTGTAGTACTAGATAATTTTGAGGCCATTACTGTGCCCATAATGGCCTGCCAATTGTTGGGTAGCCAATGCAGGCGCAGTACCATGCCCTTTGTAAATGTCGGCATAAGACATACATTTCCAATTGGGATACGATACATTTATAGAGACATTCCAATAAGACACCATAATGATTTAATAATATAATATAAAATTATTTATATAGTACTTTGTTGGACTTGGGTAATAAATGACCATCACTATGCATAATAGTCACTAAATTTTACCACCGGGACCATCATAATGGATGTGCGTTTTGTGTGTTGCAGGGAGAACAGTATCTTCCACGGTGCCAACCACCTTTACCGTTGGCCAGCTTTTTAGACGAGATATCTTTAAAGAAATATGTCAGAGAGCTGGCCAAACACCTGGATGTTCTGTCTCATTTCGAGAACTTCGAATGATCCTCTACGGCCCACCACAACCGATGTTGTTCGCCCACAACGTACGGCTCGGCGGCTGTTGTCAACTTCTTCCAGTATAAAAATAATAATTATTATTATTATTATTATTATTGTTGTTATTTTATTTTAATACATAGTGCGTAGCGTACCATATATTTGTTTATAAAAATATTGTACAAAATATTAATACCGTGGAATCCGTGTAAAACTTATATATATATATATAAAAATATATATTTGTTCTCTTTTACAATAGTATGTGTGAAATAAACGTTCGGAAATAGCCAGTCGACGAAGTAATGTTACGGTTATTCGAATCCGAATTCTGACCAAACGTACGTATAAAACACGGTGATTTATTTCTTCTATATTATTATAAATTGTCCCACATGTTTGTTTTGTTTACAACAACGTACCACTGTCGTTCGCTGTTTGTTTCATTACGTGCCTATGCGTTCCGTTAAATAACAGTACGTAGAATAAATATAATATATACATATATATATGTATGTATATGCAAGGCAGGGCATAACGAGTCAAAAATTAAAATTAAGTTACATTTAATTGAGATTACAAAAACGAGTCGATTATTTTTGTCGTTAACTTTTAACTTAATACCTATGTTACTTTTCTTGTGTGTAGGTATCTAACTCGTTTATTTCAAGTTAATTTTATAGAAAGGTATACGAATTAAGTTCCATTTTTATCAAAATTAAACTACCTTTTTTACATTTTTAATCGTCTGAGAAAATATTTCAACATTGTTTATAACAAAAAAATCATTTTAAGATAATAATAAATAGAAATAAATAATAACAATAATAATAGAAGTATCCAAGAATATGCATCCTGTCACTGGCAAGCCATTGGCATGCATGCGTACCATACAGAATACATGTCTATATTATTTATGAAAAATGTCAAATTTTAACTGTTAACTAAAATAAGTTAATTTTTTATATATTGACTTTTAACATAACTCGGACTTATTTTTTTTTTCTATATTAACTTGACTGTACGAGTTAAAAAAATTGGTTAACTTGCTCAGCCTTGTAAATGGTATATATGTATATGCTATATATACCATCGATATTTGATTAATATTTCATTTATTTTAGGCCTTAATATGGCTTGTTTATTTTTTTTCTTATAATCTGTTATGAACTATTTAACTTTGTTGTAATATATTTGAAACTTATTAATGTGTTATGGTTTAATCAAAATACATTCGAGCAATACAATACGGTTGAACGCCACTGCGTCTTTTACGGACAAATAAGACGTAGCAAATATATATATATATATATATATATATATATATATATATTATTATATTATAAGTTTACGTATGTACCGACTTAATTTGAAAAAACCGTAAACACTTTTTTTAAACGAAAATTCTTATAAATAGTTTAATTTTTTCTAAATTAATAAATAATTTCCAAATCTTCCATTTTGTACTACGAAAAAAAAAATTCTTAAAATTGCATTATATATACAAATTGTTAGTGAATAAAGTACAGTATTTTTATAAATTTAATTTATCTATTTATATAATGAAACTTTACTTGGTTATCAAAACAAATACATTGCTGCTTAATAAAAAACCAAGTGTCCTAAATTAGTTTTAATATAAATGGATTTTTTTTCATTATTATTATTACTATTATTATTGATTATTATTATTAATGACTAATATTATTATTATTGTTATTGTTTGTTTCTTTCTGTACTTATTTTGTGTAAACTCTTTATTTTCGCATGTTATCTCCTGGAAACGAGTATATCACGTGTAGGCGATTGTTTATTTAGATATTTAACGCAATCAATAATAATAGCCCGCAAATTGTTTTATCTATAATATTGTACAGAAAACTGCAATACGTTTATGAGAAGTTAATAGATTTTTATTAATAATTTGAATATTGTGTGTATTATATTCTATAATCAATAATTTGTTGAGACGAATTCGATGAAAAAACAATTTTTATATTGTTTTTCCTGGCGTTACTGTGACGACAAACGGGTGGGAAAAAGTGAAAGATGTGGGCCACTCCACGTCGTGACAAAGCTAAAGGGTCGAGTTTATTTTTACTTGACAAACCTGGACGTC